GCAATAAAGTGAGACTGTCTCTAAAAAAGAAAAAACAAAAACAAACTTTAAAAATAAAAGTTTCACCCTGAAGGCAACTTACTTCAAGTGAATTAGCACTCCAGTATCAGCCAACATCAATCATTCTTACCTAAAGAATAATAAGAAAAAGTTAATATAAAAGACAAGGGTATAAAATAAAGGTCTGAAAATGCTAGTTAACTTCAAAATTTAAAGAGTAAAATTCCAGAGACAAAGATTGGGGGTAGGTTACAGCTTAAAAAAATAGGAAGAAACTTTATGGGTGAAAAAATCTAAAATTATTCTCATATAATATAGTTAAGTAGACACCTGAATTAAAATGAAAACTGTATCTTCTGTAAAATGTAAAAGCCTAACTCCTATTTTCACCAGTCTGAGCACAATGAAGTTTGACTGCAACCCAAAATATACTATCCCTTATGTGAAGGTATGTGACAACGTTTACCTCACCAAATGAGTTTGAACATCAGCTCTGTCGTTTCATATAAAAGCACATACTCTGCTCCCTATTCAATCAAGTATGTCTTCCATTCTCAGGTGGGCTGACCACCTTCATCAGGAATCCTCAAGAATTCCCTACCCCTTCCCAAAGTACACAACACTGCAGTAGTTATCCTGCAATCCTATTTTTCTCATTCTTTCCCCCAAAGTCCTCACTGAGCTTTAGGTTAGGACAGGAAAGCTATGCTGTACTGGGACAGCAAGGAACCAAGCTGTTCTGAGGGAGAAGACCTTCACTTTCTCTATATGCCTGGCAGGGCCACAGTGCACAAAAACAGAAGATCAGCCTTAATTCAAGTTGTAGGTTTTCCTTCCACCCTGTATCATTACTACCAAGGGCATATGAGTAAGAGTTCCCTGTTGCACATGTACCATCCATAAGGGATACTATATCGTTTTGCATTCCCTCCCACCAAATTCTCCAGATTATCCTATTCTGCATCCAGCCCCCTTTTTCACTCTCAAAAAAAAAAAAATCTTTTCAGCACTGGTGTTCAAAAGCAACATTTTTATGGCTGATGGTTTATCACCAACTGTTGAGATTTCCACAATTGAGTCTTAAAAATTGCCAATCATTATCTAGCAGCAATGACAGATGATTAGGAGCAGTCAAATCCTCTGAATTCTTTCCCTAATAGGCAGCCATTTGAGAACTGCACTAGCTGACAGCACTGAAACATTATCAGCTAAAGCCAAAACCAAATAAAGGCCCAGAACAAGCATCCTGGCTCTCTAAAACCTGTCCAAAATCATTCAGGGAAAGGCAGTAAATGCAGGACTGTGAATCATGTCACTGCAGCTGACAATGATTAACAATAGGAGACATGCAACCCCCGTTAAAAGTCCAAAACTAGTCACACGCATCTCTTCATTGGGGAAGTGAGACTGTTATGCATTCTTTGTAGGTTTGCAACCTTGCATGAAGAGCACCCATTGCATTTCTTTCATCTTTGAGAAAGCACCGGTATCTGTTCCAAGGGCCTAACAGTACGAAAATACATTCTGGCATCACAACTCTGAACTCAAAACTTTTTGTCATTAAAAAGAATAATTTTGGTTTGTAACAAGAAAAGATTATGAAATACAATGCAAGCACCTCGGTATAGCATTATTACTGAAAGCCACTGAAATTCCCAGCTTTTGGACTGAGTACTTTTTAAAAAACTCACTTGTAACTAAGATTCACAATTTTTAGCTACATATAAATTTGAACTAGTAAGACTGAAGTCACAAATTTCTCATTCTCAAGTGCAAAAGACTAATAATCTTGCAGTGAGCAGAATAAAGCAAAATTAGCCCCCCAACCCCATGATGTTCCTTTAGTCCATACATTATACTAAGTACAATCTCTGAAAATTATTGACTGATAAGAAATAAACCTGAGCTTTTATTTCTAAATACCCAAACACTAAACCCCGGTAGCAAGTGTTGGCCACCGATTTAATGGATTATGACATAGAAAACCCCCATCAGGGTTCTATGCAATTTACTGATACTCAATGTCACTAGTACTCAGCATTATGTTTGATCTGCATATTATAAATATAGGAGAGCTAAACTAGTCACCATTTGCTGTTTCTCTACCAAGAGTCTAGGAGAGTCAAAAGTTGTTGGCTTTAATGGACTACATAAATTACAAATTTGTCCCCACCTTGTGAACTGCTTGCCAAAGAGTAAGCTATATTTCTTGATACAATGAAAGAAAATTCTCATAGTCAGGAAGAGTTTCACCAGTATTTATGCAAAATAAGCCAAACTTTCAAGTTATAGAGCAGAAAGCATTTACATGAAAGCTATTTCTCATGCACACTAGCTAAGAACCAATTCAGAGACCAAAGTTGGATTGGGGTCTGGAACAAGTAATGCAAAGGTTAAGTCCTAAGCAACAAAAGAAGGTGCTTTTGAAGACTTATGTTTTCTTATAAAACACTGTGTACTGTAACGTATCCCTAAAGCTAAGGGAACCAAATTCAAAATGCTACTCTGAACATATGCAGTGATCCTACAGAATACGACGAATCTTATGATTGGGAATGATTCCCAACACGTATTCAACTGTAGGCAAGTCAATCTTCCACACCAATTTCCCCCAGGTTTAGAGTATAGACATATTTAGACAAGTCACATAACTTGAACTATTCACGTTAGATTCCCATCTAAGCCCAAGTTAGTAGCAAAGGTATTTCCATGGAGGCTATGTTTTTTTTTAAAAAAAAAGTTATATCACATTACAAAAAAAAAATCTGTACTTTTAGTCTTGACTCAACTTGCAGAATTACCAAGATTGTATAATGAAATTACTGATATGCCAACCTCTGGGCAGGTCAGTTTGCTACAACAGACACTAATTATCACATGCTACATACACAGTCCATGTCAAAGTGCTAAAAGCACTCTAGTTCCCAAGTATGGTTTGGTTCCCTCATCCCCCACACCACTGTTTTTTTTTTTCATGTTATCTTCAGTTACAGTGCAACTAAAGAAAACCACACAACTGAGTCAGATATACCAAAGAGTCAAGTTTGCACTTTTTATATGAGAACTGCAACAGCACTGAATTCTGCCTAACAAATTACAGCTCTAACCCCAAGCCCACGCAGTTTTGATAAGCTAACTTCACCATACAAGTTTTGGTGCTGCACTGTAATTTCATTGTCAGAAGTGTGATGTCAGAATGCCCACGGAATAAAAGTACATAGCAAGTCACCAAGTTAGATTATATTGCTTGTTACCTACCTGTATGCAGTCGGCAATGAGAATCTTGGAGCAAGCAGGAATACTACATCCGGGTCCTAATGTCCATTGCCATTTGCGGTACTACGTTCCTCACAGTTACGCACTGCAGAAATGCTGGCTAAATGTAGTTATGTAGCAGGCCACTACTTTAATAGTGCACAATTGCAGTCCAAGAACACCAGAAAACATTCCGCCACAACTTCGTGGCTTGCCCAAGAAAAGCCAAGTATCTAAATTTTTATCTGCCATAATATGCCACTTACAAAAATTGCACAGGCGTAACATTACAATTTCCCAAATTGTTATCTGTTTATATTAGTGGTATAATACATCTATAAAGAGTGGTGGGGTTTATAGTACTTCTCAGGAGTATAATCAATGCTCTAAACAAAGAGGATTATGGTTTCACTAATGTGGAGCTAATGGGTTAAAACCTGTAAGATACCTATTAAATACACTGAGGGGGTCTTGGAGAATGCAGTTTTTAACTAAAGATTAGGAAGCAAGTTTAAAAACAACCAGTGTTCCTCTTAAAAAAAATTATGAGAGAAAGAGGAGAAGAGGAAATGGGGTAAGTGGTTTTCTTTAAATGAGAAAAATGGCTAATGTACTTCAAAATTATTGCCTTCCCTTTCCCACCCCAAGTTTCATTATCAACTTTTAGGAAACTATTAAGATGATTTAAATTCACATTAAGCTAAGAAGTATCGTATACATTGCAAGACTTACTGAAAGTCTATTTGAATAAGCTTACATACAACCCTTGGTAACTGATGGAAAGTCAAATGTCAGTTGAAAACTAAGCAACATTATTTGCTAAACAACGTTTAGCAATTCTATATAGCCCACAGTAAGGCTAACAAAAGCCACAACTTTCAGGAGATTATCCATTAGCATCTTTCACCACTCTTCAAAGGTACAATCTACCAAAAGCTTATTTTAGGGGTCTGTGCCAGCATCCCTTATAAAGAAAGGCATGTAATCTGAAAAATAAACTGAAACATTAATTTTATAGGCAGATTTTCCCATTTTCCCACCAGCCCCCACCCACACACATTCAAATTCACCCTCTGTGGGTGTCCCATGAACACCCCTTATTTTATCATTAGTAGAGTCCCTACTGTACAATTCAACCAAACTATAATGGATTCCTTTCAAATCAAGACCCGTTTCCATACAGAAAATCTCATGTTATCACCAATTTAATGACTTGGGATAAAACTTCCTCATTGATATAATTATGGTATGAAGGCAGAACTACTTATTCCAAGTGTGCTGGTGGACAGAAATAAGCATATTTTCTGATGATATTCTCTCCCTTAATTAGCACACCACGTACCTATCCGTCATACAACCAGAATTTGGAGAGATGCCTTTATACTCTAGTAGAGTACTAGTGTATTATCCTGTTTCCTATGCAGAAAGTGCTCAGTTGTTTCAACAATAGACCCCCTTTTGTACTCAGGCACAATACTATAAACCTTCAGCATATTAACAAAGGTTTGAGAATTTTTCTTTTGCCAATTAGCACCAAGAACAGAGGTGAAAAGGAGGAAGACACATTCCATACTACGAGTTCTATTATAATGTATAGATTTGAATGGAACATACCTAAGAACCAGGCCAAACCACTCAATTACTTTACCTACTGTTAGAAGTTGTTCCTCTAACATATTTACACTGGGAAATCAGGCTTCTACTGAACTCACAGGCAACAGTAAACCATCTACTTTAGTAGTCAGAAAGTCTCTTGTTCTAATGGAGATTCAATGAAGTTGACAATTAACTGACAACACCATCGAAACATTCCAAAGCTTTATGTTGGGAATAAGGGATATTTGCACTGTGTAGCATGAGCAACTCTCTCCAGATTTAGTGCTACATCAAAATGAAACTACGTAAAAACAAGTTAACAAATTTATAACAATGGTTATCTGCAAACCTATTTGTTATTAACAAATAACCACTAGCTCTTATGAAAGAGGACCAACAGATTTTTATAGTCCTACATATTTTGCCTAACAGAAGTAGCACAAGGAGATGTAAAAGTTGCAGAATACAAATGTATATATATAGCTAAACCTACTTTATAAGTGACTAAATCGTATTTTCAAGTTTGAATTTTCAAACTAAACCCCACCTTTATAAATCACTTGAAGTAATACATGAAAAGGCTTCATGTTTAACAATCTTTAATTCAAATGTAAAAGTTCAATACAAGCCATTTGTAGGGCTTGGGATTTGTTCTTTTAAAAACAAGAAATGGGGAAATGCAACAAAATGATCTTTCCACTTTTCAAAAACTTTCAAAGAAAGGATAGATCATAGGGCCATAAAATATCCATTTAACCAAACCCACTTTCGCCCCCTACAAGTCTTACACCCATTCCATAATCTTAATACATATTCCTGAAGATTTACAGTTCAGCTTTGCTTACATAACCATTAAAAATACTTAGCACCAGCTTGCTTCCTATAATGCCAAACAAATCATAACACTACTTCAATATGCATTTCTTCTTTTTAAAACAAGGGGGGATAATTATTTGTGGAAAGCAATATTTAGCCTCCAGATACATTTCCCAGAAATGGCATATGCCATTCAAAGGCCTAGACATTCTCATGCTTTCGAAGTGGAATACCTAGCCTAATGTGCATAGAAGCATGAATGGCAAAGTTGAAGATCAATATAACTATTTTTCTATTTATTTGAAGCACAGTAAAAAAAAAAAAAAAATTGGTACACTTTGGAAATTCAGTGGCACAAGGTACACTGCCATAACTTGAGGGACATTATACAGTTAAAAAAAAAAAAAGGAAATAAAAAGGAAAAAAAAATTCTCCTGTTTCAAACACTGCATTACATAATTTTACCTGCCCAAACAGACCATTTACAAATATCAGGTCAATAAACTGCTAACATCCATAAAAAGGTAGCTTTCTTACTAAAATGCAAGAATTTAAAAGATTGGTATCTAAACAAGAAAAGACAAAAACAAACTGGAATGAAGCCTAGGTATCACATCTAAAATCGGGGTTTTTTGTTTGGGCCTTCATACTCTTCTCTCCCTCTACCATATCCTGCTGGAGTTCCAGGCCCCATTCCTCTAGGACCCTGTCCACCCACAGGCCCCGCACCTCCCTGCCCAAAGCGCTCAGTACGCTATTGGAACAGTAATTAACAGTTCATTATATGTAGTTGATGTCCATGTGTGTTAAGTAAATATTTTAGAAGGTTCCGTAGTCAACGTTCGTCGATACAATCACCAATGAGTCGATCCACAGGTACCGGGAACATAGAAAGGAAAAAAGGGTAATTTGAAAATTAGTTTACGATAATACATGCCTTGCGGTATGTTCCCACTTGAGCCATTCTCATACACCTGTTTCAAAGAATAGATCTTCCCTGTAGTGCTAAAAAATTTAAGAATTAGTGCAGATGTGAAAATCCATTCCAAAATGAGTTCTAAGAAATTTCACATCAGATTAACCCACTGAAAAGCTTGCAAACTCTCACTTTCAAGGTCTGAACAGGAAATTTAACTTCCAAGTAAGCCTAAGAAGCCCAACCAGACAGATTCAATTCACTCAATGAAGTGACAAAGACCTACTCACCAGTTAGTGGCATGTGCTGCATAAGAAACCTTGTGCTTTTTCAAGATCTTAAGACACATCTGCTAAGTTGCAGAAATCTTAAAAGGTTGAGAGTTTTAATAAAATGCTACCAGACTACAAAAAGAAAAAGCATAAAAGACTAATAGATTTAGTCACTTAACCGGCACAGTAACTTCATCAAAAAACTTGTGTTGCCATATTCACAGGTATTCCACCTTCAGAGCCATCACTATTATAACCAGAGACAAATTAGGTTCACAGGACTATTCTGCATTGTTGCAAATTGAATGCCCACCTTCATGTCAGCCCACCGTCTCCCCTTAGGTCTTTGAAAAGTACACTCTGCTCTAATTCCTTGTTTTAGAGACCTCCCAAATGGTATAACACCAAGCTCAAGTGACTGCAATAAAGCAGTAACCTCCTTATTCCATGGAGTTTTAGGTACTTCTTGACTTAAAATAGGAAGCATATGTACCCAAATAGCAGAACCCTGTAGGTATGCAAACACAGCAGCCTACACTGTCTTTCTAATTCCATTTAAAACAAATCCATTACTAAAAGCATTACTCCAAATCAAAACTAAAAATGCATCAGAGTTTAACTGTTCCTACATAATTTCAACTTTTTGTTTTACAAAATACTATGGACTGAGCTGTGTGAAAAAACTAAACCTCAATCCTTTATTTTTGAAAATCCTAACAATTATAGGAGTTTTGCGCATTGTTATATCACTAAGAACTAAAAGGTAAGTTTGGGGGTTTGATGGTAATTCTAAATAGCTGAGAACCCAGAAGCTACCTGTTACCTAGAATACAAGAACTTTTAATTGTGGGATCATGTAAAATTAGATTTTAAAATTTGATACATACCCAACAATCTGTCTTTAGGAAGTAAATAAACCAAAGTATTACCTACGTAATTTAAAAATTCAATTTCAAGAAAGCTAACAATACTACATTTTACCCAACCAGCCATTTACAATTCTAACTTTAATTGTCAGAAAGCCATAGGCAGATTTTAAATAGGTGAGGCCCTCCACTAAACCCTTACATTTCTATTCATAAATGAATCTCATGAGCCACACACTGCAGCTTCCCCTCCTTTGCCAAAAGCCTGTAGGTGAACTAAATCAGATTCAAGCCAGCTGTAAAAAGCCCACTCTCCTAAACCCACCAAATTTCAGTCCTCAGGATTTGTAATGCCCTAATGCAGTCACTTTTTACCAGTTCACTTGTTTGTTCTAAACCCTCTAAACAGGCTATCTGTATAACTAAAACATGATAGCATCAAGAAGTTTCCGATCAAATGCACACTACTAGTATGCTTTAAAATATTGGGTTTTGCTACCGTGTAGCAAAATACAGATGAGTTTTGTTTTAGAAGGTGCACCTACAGACAGGCCCAACAGATGGGAAACGACGAGTCAAAACACTCAATTCCCTTTTCATGGGATAGAAGCCACACCAAATATAGGTCAAAGTCCTAAAAGTCACTAAAGCATGCCTAAAGCTACAAACTACAAGTCTAATTCCTACTTATGGCAAATAACCAGCTTAAAGAATGGCAGTTTGCCATTTGATCACTTTTACTTGGATGTAGAATAATCAGATACATTATCTAGCACCTAGAATTTAGATTTGCCATGCACTAGAGTTCAAAAGCACCTAAACCTACTATTGCCAAAGATAATTCCACATACTAACAGCATTGACTTCTCATTGGCAACCGTATATTTAGGTTACCAACACGGAATGCTAAGTTGCCAAAGTATTCCTCAATATTACATATTTATGTATGACAGGGAAAACTGAGAGGATCCAGTCACCTATTTTAAGAAAAACAAGGAAAAAAAAAAAAAACAAAACACACGTAAGTCGTGAAAATGAGATTTTCCTTGGTACTAGGTCCCACAAGATACATTACCATGTCGCTTCCCATCATGGAACCACTCATAGTTGCTGGTGGAACTCCAGGATTAGCTTCATAACCTATGCCACCACCACCACCTAGAGGTGGAAATTTCTGGCCTCCTGAACCATAGGGATCTAGGAAACAAAAATGGTGGTTACATATCCAGTGGAATACTGCTCTCTAATGATATATTTTAAATTTAATTTTCATACTTACCTCCCATGTTCATTGCTCCTCCAGCACCCATTCTCATGTCTCTTTCTCTCTGAAAGAAAAATCCCTCTCTTATACATGTCCTATACTTGGACCAAACATTATTTAGGCTATCAAGACTTCAATACCGTGGGCGGTGCCTATACTGAAGGTGGCATATACTGAAGGTGGTGGGTTTGAACTTGGTCCCAGCCAAACTGCAACAAAAAATACATTCTGGCGGGTGCAAGTCTCAGCTACTTGGGAGGCCGAGGCAAGAAAATCGCTTAAGCCCAGGAGTTGGAGGTTGCTGTGAACTGACAACAGGGCACTCTACTGAGGGCAATAAAGTTAGACTGTCTCCAAAAAAAAAAAAAAAAAAAAAAGACTTCAATATTCTGATAACTAAGGCTAAAGTCAATTAATTATCTAAAGACCTATAAGACTTCCTAGCCAATGAAATCTTTTGACCCATAGGAGCAGCTGAACATGTAAACAATAGCAAATCAAACACAATACGGTTGTAAAAAACAAAAAAATGACCGTAATGTGAGTTTTTTTTTTTTTCCTGAGACACAGTATAATTTCGTCATCCTCAGTAGAGTACCATGGTATCACAGCTCGCAGCAACATCAAACTCTTGGGCTTAAGCAATTCTCTTGCCTCAACCTCCCTAGTAGCTGGAACTATAGGCACCTGCCAAGCTATTTTATTGTTGTTGTTATAGTTGTCACTGTTTAGCAGACCCAAGCTGGGTTCAAACCTGCCAGCCCCAGTGTTATATGGCCTGCGCCCTAACTAGTGAGCTATAGATGCTGAGCCAAGATATTACTTAACAGACAGGTTTTGGGCTCAGCGCCTATGGCTCAAGCGGCTAAGTCGCCAGCCACATACACCTAAGGTGGTGGGTTCGAATCCAGCCTGGACCCGCCAAACAACAATAATGGCTGCAACCAACAAATAGCTGGGCATTGTGTGGGCGCCTGTGGTCCTAGTTACTTGGGAGGCTGAGGCAGGAGGCTCACTTGAGCCCAGGAGTTGGAGGTTGCTGTGAGCAGTGAAGCCATGGCACTCTACCCAGGGGAACAGCTTGAGGCTGTCTCAAAAAAAAAAAAAAAAGTGATCCTTCCGCCTCAGCCTTTAGAGTAGTTAGGACTACAGAGGCAAGCCATTGCACCCACCTAATTTTTCTTTTTTGGTAGAGACAGTTGTTGCCCAGGTTGTTCTTTAACTCCTGGCCTCAAGTAATCCTCCCACCTCAGCCTACCAAAGTGTTGGTATTACAGGCATGATCACCACGCATGCACAGATCTTACATTTAACTGAGTACAATTCCCTTCTGGGTACCTAGAAGTCCTATAGATAACTTCAATCAGACAGGCAACAAAAGCTGACTTACTGGATCCATGTAGCCCATTCGACTGTAACTTTCCTCTCTTTGGCGCCTCATTTGTTCTTCCATCTCACGTTGACGAATCATCATCTCTTCCTCCCTTCTACGTCGCTCCTCTTCTTGCCTGGAAAACATTTGTCAGATATATAAATCAAAGTGTTACCTACATTTTCTAAAGTTCAATTGGAAGAAAGCCAGTAATTTGCCTGAGAACTTTAGAAAATCTAATTTAGGGATAAAAAATAAAAACTAGGAACAACTGTAAGGACAGAGCACTAAAGATATTCTGGCCAAGAAAACAAGATTAATTAATGACAGTCTTATACTCTCCTCCATTACAAGCGTTAAACTAACCTTTAACTTCTCTATATATAATTTATTTAACCTAACTGTCCTACAAGGGTAAGTGTATCTTTTTTTTTTTTTTTTTTTTTTTTGGCCAGGGCCGGGTTGGAACCCACCACCTCTGGTATATGGGGCCAACACCCTACTCCTTTGAGCCACAGGTGCTGCCCTGAAGTCTATCTTTTTTGTCTAAAGGTTAGAAAAGTCATTCAGAAGAGTAAAGGCTTTAATTTAATAAAGTTTTACCTCAATTGCATTTCTTTACGCTTCTGCATTTCTTGATTATGAAGTTCTTCCATGCGTCTTAATTCTTCCTGTCGTCTCATCAGATCTGAACATTGGAAAATAGTATTTTGGATTCACATTAACGAGGCTCTAGAAAGTTCAGAAAGCAACTGATCCTCTATACTTAACAAATGCAAACATTGTAACCTAATTCTTTGTACCTTCAAGTTAGCCTGAAACAATGAAAAAGAAGAAAGCAACTGATCCCATTAGCAAAGTTCACACAGAAGACATTTTACCTTGGCGCAAAAGATTTGCCTGATGTTCATGGTAAGCATCTTCCATTTCACTTTCCAATTTGTCTTTTGCATCCTTCATATTTTTTTCAACTTGTTCCCTTTGCTGTTTTTCCATTTCATCCAAGGACTTCCATCGCTGAGAATATTCGTACTCAAATGTGCCATGCTGGGCAAAACGAGGAGGAGTTTCTCTCTCCCTAATACACAAAAATAAACATGAACCGATTTAGAATGTATATAACAAGAACTATTACCTGATCCCCCCTTAAAATACTGGTCTTTTTCTGGGCCTATCATTTGTAAGGAATACAAAAGGGAAAAACTACTTTGATTTATAAACTATCTTTACAACAAAGGTACTCTGAAAATGATCCGTTAACAGAAAACATGAGCACTAGAAATAAAACCTACATTCCTGATTCCCCAAATCTGTCTTCCTCTAGCCAAAGTTTATTTTTTTGATCCATTAAAATGCAATTGTCACAAGGATGAAAACAGGACTGCATATGAATCTCCCATGAATCTACCTACCTCAGAAACAAACAGCTACATGAATTAGAACTTCAACATTGCAAATTTTCTGAGCCTGAGATTTTTATCAATAGCCGTATCAAAGAATTTGGCATATTCTCAGCAAAACTGGAAAATAACTACAGCAAGTTTTTTACACCAACATTAATTTAAAAACTGCCAAAATTTAACCAATCTTACTTTTGATACATTGGATTCTTCTGTGCAAGTTTTTCAGGAAGACCATCTTCATCATCTAATTGTTCAAGTGGTTCCACAATAACTGGACGAGGAGTTCTAATTAACAAAAAATGATTCCATCTTAATTATGTTCCATTTTTACCACCACCTTTTCATTTAAGTTAATAAATAGAAATTACTAGAGTTAAAAAGGAAAGACAACTTACGTTGTCAGTAAGAAAACACCTTCACTGCACCGTTCAAATGCTTTCCTTGCTGCTGGTTTAGAAGCAAATTCAACAATTCCTTTCCCTGTAGATCTTCCACGATCATCCACAATTACAACAGCCCTTTCAATAGGACCAAATTGGCTAAAAGCTTCTTCCAACAGTTCATTGGAAACATAAGGTGAAAGATTACGAACAGAAAGGGCAGCAGCATGTGTGGCAAAACGAACGCGAAGCTGTCTACCTCTCATAGGTGTGTCATCAAGTTCAGCTTTGGCAATTTCAGCCAAGGCTCTAGACTCCTGTTAAGTGTGAGAGACACTCATGTTAAGGAGATCAAAATTGTTAATGCCCAAGCTCAGTTCAAAAAACACTGTCTTCAGGCAATGATGCCACTCAGGTAGGTTAGAAGCTTTGTCTATTCTATCTCCCCTTTTCTTAGATACCAACAACCACCCTTAAAATAGCAGTTATTTGTTTTTCATTTACCGAAAAACTAGCTTGTTCTTCCTGGTCTAAAGCCAAGCTTTTTGGGGGAGTGGGGGAAGTGGGAGGAACTACCCTTTAAATTCGAAATAAAATACAACAATCACACTCACAAGTTTAATAAATCCAAATCCTTTGCCTTTGTTTATAAAAACTTCTCCCGGTTCTCCATATTTAGCAAATAGTCTTTTGAATTCATCCTCTGTGATATCAGCAGGTAGATTCCCAACAAACAAACGACAGCGCTGTGTGTAAGTTTTCTCTCCAGGCCTCCTCAAGAGAGACAAGTTGGCTTTAAACCCCTAATGAAAAAGGAAATTTTCAAACACAAGTTACTTCTGCAAGTAACGCCAAAAATACATTTTGTTTTCCCAAAACACAATGTGTTGTCAGCTATTTTTCTGATCCCTTCAAAATCAAGGTTTTACGTATCTGAATTTTATCTTAAAGACAGGGCCTCACTCCTGCCCCAGGTTAGAGTGTGGTAAGGCCAGCCTAGTTTACAGCAACCCCTAACTCCTGGGGTTAACCCCTAACTCAAGGGATCCTCACGCCTCTATCTCCCTAAAAGCTGAGAATACAGGCGTCCACCAGAACACCCAGTTAGTTTTTTTATTTTTAGTAGAGACTGGGTATCACTCTTGTTCAGGCTGGTCTCAAACTCGTAAGCTCAGGCGATCCTCGGCCTCCCAGAGTGCTACGATTGCAGGCCTGAATCTATAATTTCTAATATGACCACTACTCTATCATCTAAAAGGAAGCCAAATAATCGAGAATACTCAAGTACAGACACTTCCTTTAAAAGTAAACCACACCATCCACGGTGAATATACTGAACAATCTAAATCGCAATACAGATAAACATCAAAATACAAGCAACCACAAAACCTAAACCCCGTCGTCACGCGCACGACTTGCACCTATGCTGTCAAGACAGGAAACACCCTGTTCCCTGCAACCCCACGCTTCACGCTCTGCACTACCCGAGTTCCACGGCCCCGTTAGCTCCCACATGTCCCAGTCCCGCCACCCGGTGCTTCCGTCCGAAAGGCCACCTTCCCTGGTTTTCCGTCCGCGCCAGGCCGAGCGCAGAACGCGGCAGCCAATCCCAGGCCGACTGGCCGCCGCGCCACCGCCCAGCTTCGCGGGCCGCCCCGCCCCCGCGCGCAGGCGCCCCTTCCGGCGGCCGACAAAATGGAGGCCCGGCACGGGGGCGGGGGCGAGCAGGGGGCCGCCGCCATCTTAGGGGAGCCGACGCGTCGCCTCCGGAGGCACTCACCTCCGAGTCCGAGATCTTCTCCTCGCTGCGGCCGCCGGGCCCGCCAGGCGGAGGCCCCTGGTGGTGCTGCTGGTGGTAGGGCGGGTGATGCTGGCGGCCCCCCCGGGGCTCCCCGCCACCTCGGTGCGGCGGCTTCGGGTGGCCGCCGGGAGTGCTCAGGCCGGGACCGCCCCCGGGCTTCGGCCCGCCAGGCATTTTGCCGCCCTTGGGACCTACGGGGCCTGGGCCCTGCTTAGGCCCCGGGCCCGGGCCCGGACCCCCGGCGGGCGG